GCTTGCAGGGAAGGAAGAGAGGCGGACTCGACGGGGCCAGTGAGCATCACTTCTGGCCGCTTCACTGGGTTTGTTTCTGTACACGGAAAGTGACAGCCACAGGCCTGAGGCAGCTGCTTTTGGGGCAGCGAGTAGGGGCAGTTCACCGGGGGGGGGAAAGGGGAAGGAAGAGTATTTGCAATAATTTCATTGTAACGTGCTAACCTAGGGATGGGCAGCTTTTTGGCTGTCACTTTACCCTCCATTCAGCCACCTCACACGTGTAAAACTAAGTTTTGGAGATACTTGGTTCTTACTAGCATGGTCACTCCTGTGCCCATCCTTTGCTAGCTTTATGTTGTGCCCTTGTGTGCAATAGCTTATGATAGGCGCTTTTTTTTTTTATCTAGTACTTTTTTGAGCCACTGTAAACTTTTGATATCCCACAGGATGTAGCAAGAATTGCCTCTGCTCAACTTCCTGAATTTGTTTTGAGCCTCCTTTAAGTTTCCTTTCATACTTCCAACTTGACGTTTGGAAAGAGACACAGTGAGTGCAAAATTCATTCCCTGTTAAGCATCTGCGTGTCACTGAGGTATTTAAAGACCTTCATCCTATCCTACTCAGTTACAGCTTTTTCAAGCTGACAAACCCTAGTACACATAGGCATTCCAAATACGATCCTTTCTGACACTGGGAGTAGGGCAAAGGAGACGAGGACTACTTTGAGTGTTCAAATATGGGTGCACCATTCGTTTATACATTAGCACAACGATGTTTTGTGTTCCATTCTGATGAAAAAATGTTTGCAGGCTGAATTTGAAGATGCTCTTCTAGATGACATAGTCTTCCATAGCCATAGTCTTGGGAAGGAGCAAAAATGCTGGAACAGGTAACTAGCAAGGGAGAGGAAATTACTGGAAATTCAGCATATATAAATGTAAAGGGATGCACAAAAATACCGATCTATCCTAGTCAAAGTCAATTATGGGCTTTGCAGTAACTACGGCTACTTGGGCATTTCAGATTATTGCAGCTAGCTCTGCAAGAACATTGACTCAGTGGTCAGTAGCAATCCAAACAGTAAATACGATGCTAGTTCCAGGGTGTACCGTGTTTGAACAATGTGGACATTTTCAGTCCCTTTGCCCTTGATCTCAAAAGAATGTAATAGAATGGGAAATACAAAGAACAGCAAAGTTGGCCAGAAGGTATGGAACAGCTCCCAAAGAATAATCCTGGGCTTTTCAGCACAGAAAAAATGGAGAGAAGATACAGGTCTCTAAATTAATGGGTGGCATATAGATACTGATCCACTGCTGCTTTGAATGCAGGAAGGAAGGCATACCAAATGAAAGCATCAAGGGGCAGGTTCAAAGAAAGAAAAGGAGGCCGTTTTTCACACAGCAAGTAGTTAAGCTGAAAAACTCTTTGCCTCAGGAAGTTCCATACCAGAACTTTGCATCAAGTCCATTAATTTACAAATTAATAGAAGAAAACAATATTCTAGGCTAACAGGTAAATGAATGATCTGTGGCTCAGGAAGTCCTTGAAGTGCAAATTCTGATTCCACACACTTTCTCTAGGACCTCATGTCACAGCCCTTATGGTTGATTATGGCTCTTGGACAGGTACGACAGATGGACTCAAAGGCAGGGCAAAGGCCTAACTTTGTGCTTGAGAGATTGCTCTTTACTGAATGCTGAAACTATTTGGAATTCCACAAGTCCCTCTAATGTGAAAATTCTTTACTGTAAACCCGAGAACTTTCTGTAACTGCAAACTGTTCTCTACCCACAGTATTTTCTGAACTGTGCTGATGTAAGGTCAGCAGGACAGTAATATGAATTCCTACTCCCAGGGGAAAAAACCTCACCATAGTATCAAGATATAAACTAATGTCTCAAGGACCAGTGTATGGAAGTAATAAATATGAAAATTTAAGAAAATATGCACCAATAGGTTTAAAATTTTTTTATTGTGCTGCCAAGAGCCAAATTACAAGAAACCGCCTTACAGTTAAAAAAGTAAAC